GCTATGAGTCCGAAACGACTCGATGGCACATAACAACATAACAGGATGAACCTGTTCATTTTCTTAGCAGTCCATGGTATATTAAACACTCTTCTCCACCACCACAACTCAAAGGCATCAATTCTCCTTTTATCCTCCCTAGATATTGCGCAAGAGGGGAAGACCCTCTATGAGATGGATTGATTCAGTGACTGGGGTAATTGGGATGGGTGTGTCAGAGGCAGTGCTATTGGCACAGGATAGAGCAGGGTTTAGGGCTGTTGTACATAGGGTTGCTATGAGTCGCAAACGACTCGACGGCACATAACAACAACAACAGTCATTGTCTAACTCTCTGACACATAGTAAGTGATTGCAAAGACCATGGCCTGTATCAGGTACACCTTAGTCTCCAGAGTGACACCATTGCTCTTTAGTACTTTGGAGTGGTCCCTAATAGCAGACTTTCCCACTGCAATACGTCTTTTAATTTCCTGGCTGCCAGTGCAAAGAGTGTTGATTGTAGAGCTAAGCAAACTAAAGCTGTTAATTATCTCTTAATCATCCATCCTGATGCTGCCAATTGGCCAAGTGATGAGAATCTTTGTTTTCTTGATATTGAGCCTCAGTCCATATTGGAGGCTGCAGTTCTTGACCTTCTGCAGCAAGTGCTTCAGGTCCTCCTCAGTTTTAGCAAGCAGGATTGTGTCATCTGCATAACACAGATTGTGGATGAATCTTCCACCAATCCTGATGCCACACATTTCCTCATACAGCCCAGTCTCCCAAATAATCTGTTCTGCATACAGGTTGAAAAGGTATGGAGATAGGACACATTCCTCGTGTACATCCTTCCCAATTTTGAACCATGCAGTGTTTCCCTTTTAATTTACTGCCTCTAAAAATCCACTGGAGGGTCAGCTACGAATCAACTCTGACTCTATGATGCATAATAACAACATTGGAGGGAACTGTGTCCCATCTTTCACTTTCCTTACTGATTATCTCATAACTCAAGTGCTGAGACTGGACCAAGGCATGAAAAGTAAGGCAAGTAGGAGAATGTTAGTAGTTGAGGGTTCTTTACCTTGATGCTTTCGTTGATTCGATTCACTATCCAGTTGAAAAGGCGGCTGTAGATGTTCTTGGCCAGAGCATCCAGAGCGTACTGTGCCTGTAGGACAGGACCAAGCTGTGAGTATGTGCAAGGCACAGGACAGGTTCAAAGTCAGTCCCTTCATATGGGCTTCTTTACCTGGATAACACTCAATGCAGTGACCACCTTTTCTTTAGCCGTTTCCCTTGTCCTTGAACACAAAGCTCTCTCTAGTTCTTCTGAATTTAAACCTACCAACTCTCCAATCTCCTGAACACCTGAAGAGGTAAGAAAAAAACAACATGGTCTGTAAATAGGTTTTCCTCCACTCCCATTCCTGACCTGGGGACCCTTCTGGGGTGTTGATGTCCCTGGATCTCAGTGGAGAGGCACTGTGGACAATTACAGCCCTGTGGGAATCTCTGGGTAGGGAGTCAGTAGGAAGAGCTAGACATTTCGTTGGCATCAAGTGCTGTAAGACGAGAAACTCCCATTTTGCAAAAGAATCAACTGCGATGCAGAAAGATCTTACAATCCAAGTCTACTAGACTTTAAAGATTCTTTCCTGTATTCCTCACTGGGAGTTCTTAGTGAGTCTGTCTTGGGGGAGGACTCAAGAAATGGAGTGCATAAGATTGAACCTGAGAGTCAGAATCGCAGCAGGAAGCTCAGGGACTCTGGCAGGATAGTGCTGACCTTGCCCATCACGGATGCCACTTGCTGGGGTTCCATTGGCCTGGAACTCATCGGCCAGCTCCACGTTTCCCAGCTTCAGCACCAGGGCCGTCACCTCTAGCACCTGTCGAATCTCCTCCTCCGAGAACCCAATCACTGTCATTGCATTCTTTGGGGGGAAGTGGGATCAGAAGCTGAAGTGGGGGTGCCAGTCTAATGCCTCCTTTCTCAAAGATGGGCTTAGGGGATGGTCTGAGGCCCTGGGCCTGGGGTACTCACCTGTACAGCTTTAAAGTTGGAGACATCATCCATGCCATCCACTCTGGACACCTCTTGGTTGAGATAGCTATAGTGGCTTGTTTCCCTATCGAGTTTCAGGGCCCCTAAAGTGTGAGAGAAAGAAGTCAGTGTGTGGACTCTCTGGAACCTTCCAGCCTTGACAGCACACAGCCCTTGCCCTAGACAGGTTCCTTCATTTATTCAAAGGAGTCATTTTTATTTGAGACCCTCCTCCTCTGGCTTCTGTTAAATTTTTAAGTGGCATGCAGGGTTTGAATCTTCACACTTGGTGGTTTTGGGTTTGGTTTTGTTTTTAATTTTATGATAGAAAAGCTTCATTCTCTTCCTTGCCACAATCTAGACAATAAAACAGTTCTAAACTCCAAGTCTATGTCAGAGGAAGTGCAACTAGGATGCTCCTTAGAGGAACGAATGGTGAAACTTCATCTCACATACTTTGGGCATGTTGTCAAAAGGACTCAGTCCTTGGAAAAGGACACCTTGCTAAGAAAAGTGAGTGGTCAGAGAAAGAAAGAAAGACCCTCAACAAGATGGACTGAGACAGTGACTGTAACAATGGGCTCGGAGCGTAGCAGAGATGATGAGGTTGAAGCAAGATAGGTCGTTTCAGGTCTGTTGTTTATAGGGTCACTATTGAGACAAAGTCTACATGAAAGCACCTAACACCATCACCAAAAAACAGTAAAAACAAACAAATCCTGCTCAGGACTCAGTGCTTCTTGAGCACAAAGAGGGAAAATAAATGTACACACATCTCTCACACACACCCCTCCAGCCTCATCCCCTCACCTTTGGCCTGGGTTGTTCCACTTACTATTTTTTTCATGAAGCACAAACAAAGTGGCAGATACTGTGTTCCTACAACTCTGACACCTGTTCTGGGAGGTTCTCTCAGGCTCTAAGAGACTGAGTCAAATAGTTGTCTCATGTCTTTCTATGGTGAATCTCTAATCTGTTATCATACATGTTGCATTTTGTTTATGTCTCTCTCCTACAAAAGAGAGACCTGTGTGATGGGATGTGTCACTTATAAATGTATTCCAAGAGTCTAACTGGCATCCAGAAAGTGTTTCTTTTTTTTTCCTTAAATACATGAATCAAGAGAACTGGTCTGAGACTGGAGAGATTGGGTTAATCCTGGAACTTGAAAAATGTCAATTGTGTTCTACAAATTGTCTCAGAACCAAGGTATGTCCCTTAAACTAGAGTTTAATGGGAGCACAAATTTTGTGTCATAACAATTTTGAAACAAGAGCCTGTTAGGCGAGAGTTATCTGGAGGGAGAATGAGTCAGAGAGGCCCTGAGATGATGGCACCAGGGAGACGGAGCCCAGACTCAGCTGAAATCAATAGGTGACAAGGCCGCTTCTGACAGTCAGCCAGAACACGATCTGAATGACTATGATTCAGATAAATTGGACCCAACCAAGGCTATTATAAGACATGAGGGAGATGAGTGCTGCAGGGGTTTCTGAACTAAAGAAATCTCTAGGCATTTTTCCACTGGTCTGTCTCTCTCTCCAGACCAAGGAATCTCACCTGGGAGCCCCCTTAATAAATCTGCTTTAAGCTTTCTTTTTAAAAAAAGAAAGAAAGAAATCTCTAGGAGAGGAAAAGTCTTGCACAGAATAATCACAAAGCCAAGGGAGAGCTCCTCAGGGGCCTGCACCCAAGGAGATCAAAGCTAGAGGAGGACTGGGAGGCAAACTTGGATGGGGCCTAACGGCCCATCAGTGGTATCCCCTCTGTGCCACCTTGGCCATTCAGGTTAGGTAGGTGGGGTAGGTTCACTCATGGGAAAAGGTAAGATGCTCCATGCCTCCTGCTCCTATAACCACCTGCCTGGCCTATTGGCATCAACCACACAGTACTAGAATGTCTCTGTATCAGCCATACCTAGAAGATGGTAAGTTCCTTGAGGACAGAGACTGAGCCTTACTTACCCCTTTAAGGTCTGATCATAGTAAGTATTCAAGAGATTTAGTAAATTAATCATTAATTAAATTTTCATAGAGCTATTGAAGAAGAAGAAATCAGTGTCAAGGCCTGAGTGAGGCAGATGTAGTCAGTCCCAGGACAAACTCAACTAGAGAGTTCATTGAAAGTTCCTGAACACTTGTAATATCCTCCCTGTTTCCTACTGACCTATTGATAAAGTCCCTTAAAATTGAAGGTAGAAAAGGATGCTGTTGCTGGTATTGTTAGATTCTGTCAAGTACAACTCAGAGCAACTCTATTAACAAGCAATCTGAATCCTGTCCTACTCTGTGCCATCCTCACAATCTCTAACACATTCATGTCCATTGTTACAGTCACTGTGTCAACTCAAATGGTTGAGGGTCTTCCTCTCCTTCGTCATTCCTCCACCTCTCCAAGCACGATGTCCCTCTCCAAGGAACGACCTCTCCTAGCAACATGCCTAAAGTGTGTGAGATGAAGCTTCATCACCTTTGCTTCTGAGGAGCACTCTGGCTGCACCTTCTCCAAATTTCTGTTTCATTTTTGAAGCCAGCTTGGAGAAAGAGAAGCCCAGGAGTGCTAGAGATGAAAGGGTAATGACAAGCCAAGCCAACTTATCCTTAGCAATAAAACCCCAGAAATGGAAGAAAACCCAGGGGTCACAGGGTGTGTTCACAACCATGGATGAGTAATGTTCAGAATGGGGAAAGCAGGCAATAAAGTTTGGAGGACTTGAGGGAAGAGGACAATGGGGACCAGAGGATGCTCTGTTACGTGTCTGGAACAGATACTTACTGAGCAGCTGTGCATCTGCCCCAGCTAGCAGTTGATAGAAAATGTGAAAGTTTCTTTCTCCTTTAAGCTGCTTCACCACTCGAGACTTCTCAAGCAGATCTGCCAAATGAATAAGAAAATAATGTCCTGTGGCTTTGAGAGATCACAGCTTCTCCCTAATTCTGCCCTCCGCCTGATCTTCAGTCGTCTACATTCCTCCTTTCTGGAGCAGCAGATTAGTAGAAGGGACACCCAGGGGCAGGTGGGAGGAAGAAGCAGTGAATTAGCAGAGAAAACACATACAGTTTGTGATGACGCCACCAAGGGGAGATCCTTTGAAGTCAAACTCAATATCCATATATTTTCCCTTCAGAGAGAGACCAGAAAGGTAATTCTTTTTCCTTCCCCTTCCCTCCACATTTGCCTCCAAGAGGGGTGTTATATCCCACCCCCCTCAAGTCTCCACATCCTCTAGTCAGAGACAACGTTCACTTACAAATCGGGAGGAGTTGTTGTTGCGTATAGTCTTGGCATTGCCAAAAGCTGTAGAGAAGAAAAGAGGGATGTGAGGTGAAGTTGAAGGGAGAGATGGAACTCTAGAGAAGGGAGAGGAGGAACATCTACCTGCCATAGTGCCAATCTCAGATTGTTCATGCTGAATGAGAACAGTGTTGATAAGGAGACTCAGGGAGAGAGTCTAGGATTGAGCTCTGGGGATGAGGAAGGGCAAGGTCAAGACCACGATTCTTACCCTCCAGCACTGGATTTGACTGCAGTAGCTGCTCCTTCACAGAATTCACCTGTTCCCCTTTTCCACAGACGGCCGCCACATAAGACATCACCAGCTTACTAGCCTCTGTCCAAAAGAAACCCTCATGTGGATCCACTCCAACACCTTCTTCACTCCCCCTCATTCCAGCACCTCACAGCCCTTAGAATCAGCAAAATTAAGAAGGCATTTTGGTGGAGGATTGATCAGGATGAGGCCTGGCTTGGGGAGGCAAAGGGGGGACTTCCAGAGGGGTGCCTCACCAGTCTTGCCAGCTCCACTCTCGCCTGTGATGAGAATACACTGGTCTCGGTCCCGGTCCTTCAGTGACTGGTATGCCACATTGGCCAATGCATAGCTTGAGAAGTGAAGGAGGGTAGTGACTGAGCTTAAAGTCAGTTGGGAAAACCATTTTTCATTCAATCCCCAGTGCCTCCACTCATCCACCTTCTCTACTTGGACCAGACGAGGTGAGATCACCAGAAAGAAAGTCAGGAAAGAAAGAGACCACTGGAGAAGCTCCCTTAGGCCAAAGACAGAGGAAATGAAAGATGATGTCTCATAGTCAGGAAGCTGTGCCACGCCGGCCTTCCCTTGGCTCCTCTACTCACATGTGGGGCTTCAGCTCATAGAAGGTGTAGTCTCGGTATTTGGCAATGAACTCTGGGCCATAGATGGACAGCTGTTGGTAGGGATTCACTGAGACCACCACATTCCCAATGTAGGTCTGGAGCCAAGGAAGAAGCAAAGGGGATGAGCCAGGAAGCTGGGAGGGAGTTTAGATAGAGGGGTGAGTGTTGAGGAAGAGGAGGTAGTTAAATCTCTAGCCATCACTGCTCATGTTGCACTCACATAAATCTCTTTGTTTTCAAAGCGAAGCTGAAGATTCTTGAGCATAGACTCCTGATCCAGGGGTTCCAAGAGGATGAGGTCCTCCACCCCGACGGTATCTTCCAGGAGAGGCATGTCCAGAGGGGCTACAGGTCCTGAGAGAAAGGAGTGTGGGGGAAAGGGTTTACTGCTGTGTTCTCAGCTTTGTTGTTGCTGAGTACCCTTTTTTGAGTTTTTATGGAGTTGAGTTCACCTTCAGCAAATTTTTATAGAATTACTTAATACATCAATGTATTGCTGTTTTTGTTAGATACCTTCTAGTTGACTTCAAGTCCTTCTTACGTACTGTTTTAGCTGACCCTCCAGCTGATTTTCAGTAAATTGCCTGGGAGATTACCTTTCTCCTTGGAGCAGCTGGTGGATTTGAACCATGTGCCTTTGGGTTGGCAGCATAATTCCTTACCACTAAGCCATCAGAGCTCCCTTTAGGTGCCACTAGCTGTTTAAGGAGTGGAAGATAGAAAGACCTAAGAGAGAGGGCTGTGGCTCTAGAAAGAACCTCCAATTAAGAAGATGCCCCTGAACAAGACTAAGATAAACATGGATGCTGAAATTCTTGGCAGGGTGGAACAAAGGCAATGCTCTCTGTGTTAGGGTCAGTGGGAACAAAGCAAAGGAAGAGTGGACCACCTGCCTACAAGCCCTAGAGTTGCACTTAGGAGAGCATTGTGCTTGAAGGAGAAAGGGCTGGAGCTGAGGAAGGTGGTGAAGCGGAGGACAGGATAGGGAAACGTGGTGCCCCAAGTGTCTACAGAAAGCTCTTCCTCTTGCCCTGAGGCCCCTAGCCAGGCCCACACCTCCTATATGTCCCCAGTTCTTCTCAATCCCTTCTTGCAGCTCTTGTTCTAGTCACTCAGCCTGCCCATGCTATTTGGAAAAGTTCTTCAAAGGTCTTTCTTCTCTCATTGCTACATTGAGCTCAGTTTTTGATATGCAGACTGGAGGAGGAGTTAGAGGGCAGGGGTAGTTGTTTCACAAAAGCCTAGGACACCTCAAAGATGAAGGTGGAGCTTGCTCCCTAGCAAGCAAGCAACTGTCAAGATTGCTAATGTGCCGCCACAGAGATCCCAGTTTTTCTCTTTTTACACCATTCCTGTAATCTTCTAATTCAGACTTTGCCCCAGGGACACACCCAGCTTTTTCGTAGCTGGCAAGGAGGAGCAGGGTTGCTCTGCAGGGAGCATTCTGGGCTCTGCCCCACAGAGCAGGTGTGTGGCAGGTGTTCCCTGAGAAAGAGGCTCAGCCTTCCTCTGTGTGGCCTGTGGGGCAGGGTAGGTGGGGTGGATGAGTACAGAATTATTAGTACAATGGTCAATGCCACTCCCAAACAGGAATAAAGAACTACATCCTTTTACTCTGTTGCTATCTCTGAATCTAAAAGGGGGAGAAAGCAGGAAAGAAAGGCAGAGAAAGGGGCAGACACTTCATTCTACTTTCATTCTGCTTTCTCTAAGCCCCAGGAAAGGAGGACACTTGTCACTTCCTATAAGGACACAACTGAGAAAGCCACAATAATACTGGTAATAGCCGTCCTAAGTGCAATCATGTAGCACTTACCATGGGCCAGGCATTGTTCTCACCACTTTACATATACTTTTGGATTCAGTTGATGCTTACAACACCCCCACAAGTAGACAGTATGATTTTTCCTCATTTTCCAGAATGGGGGGGGGGAGTAAGTCTTTTAAGTAACTTGGCAGGGAAGGATAAGCAGAAGGGGAGGGCTGGGAGAAGACACCCCTTTGGATTTGCAGGGGTTGGGAATGTAAGTGGTTGTGGGTGGGGGAAGAGAAAGCAGGAAGATCGTAGATCTTTCCACAGGATGTGGAAAAAGGAGCAGTGACAGGTCAAGGCAGGACTCACCTGGGAACTAGGATGTAAGGAACTTCAGTGCCCACTTGGAGAATGGCGATGATACCCCAATTTGACAGGAAGGGGGCATAGCAGTCCCAGGCCCCAGGGGTGAGAGGTGGCTTAGTTAGCAGGAGCTGTCCATGGTGTCAAAGGAGCCGGAGAGAGGCTGACCTCTTGCCAGTGTCCACCCTTCTATCTCTCTGTGCTGTCTCTTCCAGCCTGGATTACTTGTGCCAGTCAAGCCAGGAGAGGCCCGAGATGGCTGCTCAGCACAAAGTCCGAGGCTGTTCCTGCTAAGGGCGTGGCTCCCTTAACCCTTCACAGGCCTTATGGCCCCGTGAAGGTGAACAGGATAATGCAGAACCAGCAGGAGAAACTCAGTGACTTCGGAAAGCCCTTGAAGTAGGATGAGGCTGGCTTGCTGCAGCCAAAGTGGTTCAATTAGAGTTCTTGTTCCTTTGCCCTCAAAATTTGAAAATGAGAGGACAATTGGAATTTATAACCAAAGAGCAATTCTTCCAAAGAGAAGTCAGAGATTTTGGTCAAGAAACTTAAAGTATCTTCCTAGAAAAGAAACAGTACCTTCCTCAAACCTACCCTTCCTGTTTTATTAGAGATCAGAAGATACTGATGAGATTTCTTGGGGGGCTTAGATAAAATTCCCAACTTTATCCCCACTTTCATTCCTCTACAAATCAGACTGTCATGACAGAAATGCAAAGACAGCAGTCAGTAACACCTTGCATTTGTAAAAGCATGTCAAGTTTCATTGAACTGTCACCTGAGCCCCATCATGTCATGAGGTGGGCATACTTCATTTAAAAAAGGAAAATTAGAGACAAATGTTTAGGGAAGTCTATTTTACTGAAAATTATCCAAAAACGACTGGAACAGCACATCAACAGAGAACTACCAGAAGTCCAGGCTGGTTTCAGAAGGGGTCATGGTA